GTCTTTGTCCAATGATCATGTTATTTCACTCAATAGGTAATGTGCTTGTGATTGAAGATGCTATTTTTCCCTACTACAAAGAGTGAAACAAGTTACTGAAGTGAAGCAAATTACCCAAGTTTCTATGTTTTGTTAACACAGGCATTCTGTTTCTTTGCCTAATCCCTAAATGATAAACTTGATGAGAAAGTGTACATATTCTATAATTGTATAAGCATTATGTGTTTATGTGTCTTGCCACTGAACAAACCTATGCCAATATATTGCACAGGCTATTCAAATGGGAATGGAACAGCACTGAAAAATACCCATGAATGAGAGAAATAAACAGAAAAATGAAATAAATAAACAGACATCAACTTGTATGAGGAGTGACTCTGACTAAGAACTCACACCTACCCGTGTAGGGGATTGCCTCATGGTATTGGTCAAAGGTTCCTGTCTTGCACAGGCATCTCTGTTGTTGATGGTTTTCTTTTTTCAATCCTCTACTGCAGGTAAGAAAGTTATTCTGGGAGGGTAAATTGATTATTATAATTATTCATTAATGCACTCTTATTTAATGTCCTTTGAGAGGTTATATTCTTCAGAATGATGATAAATTATGGTACCTCCAATTAATGTCACTGCAGCTAAAGGGATGTAAGAATTTCTGTTAATAGGGGGCAGTTTTCTGGGGTTTTACAAAGAAGCTATAAAAAAATTGCTGAAACTTAAGGTACAAGTTTCCAGTATATTTTATGCACACAATATTCACTTGAATCTGATCAAATCAATAGATATATCAAATCTAATAAGATACAAATAGAGTGGAAAGAATCTACTGAAGATACAGCTTCCAACTTGTAGGAATGGAAGTATACAAAGGGAATACACTTCTTTGTCTTTAGGTTAAAGCAGGTGGACCTTTGGTGATACATGTGACAGGTGTTTGCTCAAAGGGCATCTTGCACCCTGGGCTGGTGTCTTTATCAGGATTCCTGTTGCCCTCTGCCTCAGACCATACTCTGCACCTAGTAGCTCCTGATGCATGGTTAACTTGGTGTAGCAAAACAGTGTTGAATTTATTAAGCTATGTTTATATTCTGGGAGGAGCTCAAAAGGAGCTTCTACACAAAGGCAGTTGACTTTGGAATAAAAATAAACAATTTAACATTAAAATCAGATCCCATCCTAAAAAGTCAGAGGTAGAAAATGCTGTCCCACCTTTAAAAATTGTGCTGACTTGGAATATTTTAGTGTGAGATGCTTGAAACAAAGATAACATTTTAAATTACAGAAGAAGAAAGGATGAGAAATAAACTATGTTATCCTGATGTACTGAAGTTTTTCAAAGATGCTGCCAAAGGAGTTGCAGATAAAATTGACCCAAGCTTTTAGGAAAAGTTGGTAATTTTTCTCACAAGAGGAACATACAAAGAGAGTATGTATATTTAATATATATTTAATATATTTTAAAATAAAAATATATTAAATATATATTATTTTATTATATTTTATAATTGGATTAGAGATAATGAAAATATTAAGATAATTTTACTAACTGGTTAGTGCACAAAAGTCAGCACCAAAACACCAAGGAGCTGTTAACTTAAATTCTGATGCAAGTTCTGTAAAGGAAAAAAAATATCTGCTGAGTAACAGCTTTCCTGATCTGATAACTGAGACTGACAACATGATGGGCTATGCAGAAAGGAGCAATAAAGATGCTCTAATTACAAAGCAATCCATTTGGTATCTCCTGTCTTCCTGAATATGGAATGGTTTTCTGAAATCATGACAAAACATTGATGAATGGGCACATGCATTATTATAGCAGTCAATCTCAAGGTAATGAGATACACAAAATTCCTAGTTATATTGTAATCCTGTCAATTATAAGTGTATTCTAAAACCAGAAATACTAAGAACAAAGAAAAGAGAAAGAGACAAGGTGAGTTCAGAGCCTTATAATAACACTGTCTTTATGCACCATGGAATAAGGTATTTATTTTGGTCAAAGTTCAAGGGCCTGAAAAGTAAGCTGTGCCACACAATCCACATGATGTTAATGGTCAGTAGGTATTTGTAGGTGAATATAAGTTTTAGAAGTATAGCTGAGTGGAGAGTTTGCTGCTTGACTTTAAAATTGTGCTAGTCACCACTTTCTAATTCTGCCAATCACTAGAATAAAAAATTAGAGAGACCTAAAGCATATACATATACAGAATATTAAAGGCTAGGGTATTTTCATTTTTTCCCCTGATGGAGATGTGCCTAAAGACCCTATTAGAATGATATATTATGTATAAATAATTGTATATATAAAAATTATAGCCATGGCATGAGAAGCCTATAGTATAAACAACTAGCTCAGAAAACTCAGTCGTTGATCAACAGTAGAGTGAGGATGGCTCTGGAGAGAGGCATGTTTTAAACACACCAGGAGGAAATTAACCTGCTTCCTTGAGGTAGTGTGCACTTGCATTATTCCATTACTCTTCTGTTGGCACTTTGCAGTTCAAAGGAACATAATGATGATAATTCTGTCTAAAACAGGAAAAAGATGGAATGCTATAAGGTTAAACTGAAATGTATCTCTTTTTGAGAACTAATTTGTAGGTGCTTTCAGAGCAAGATTGTAGAAATTGGGACCTTGGACTTAGATACAGATTTGAAATGGGATATACCAGCTCTCCCCTCCTGCTTATCAGTTTGACTGCAGCTTTTAGCAATCAAAGTTACTGCTACCTGATAGCAGTCTTGGGTAACCTCTGTGAAAGGAGTAATGCCCTCAGTGCATCCTACAAAATAAAGGGCTTTTATTTCACTTAGCATTTCCCTGCATTAGGCAAGGCAATGCAGTGCTTTGCCCATTCCTGAGCTGCTGCTAGATACCCAGCAGTGGGAAGTGACAATCTCCATCTGTGCTGACTCTTGAGTGGGTGCTGAGTTACAGAGGGTTTTATGTCTCTTGAACTGTATGAAAAGCAGCTGGGTCTGGATTGTGGGTTTCCAATGTTTGGGTGTTTGTTTGTTACTGGGCATTGAAAATCCAGCATGCAGAGGGAATGCATGGGATGGGGAAGAGAAACCAGTCAAGAGCAGCAGGGAACAAGCGATGCTCCTCTAACCACAAAAATAATGTTTGCAGTACTACAGGTTTTTCAGTGTAATGTAAATAAATAGGCATAAACACAAACAATACCTTTCCAACAAATCCAGCATATTGCTCAGTGCTGCCTTACAGTTAGACACTGATAGGTATCATGTCCATGTTTTACAGCGTTTGTCGTCCATGACCTACAATTCTCAATAGATTCACAATTCCAGTCATCAGATTTTTTTGACACGTTATTATTATCCTTTTATAAGTAAGAACCAGTATTATTATCCTTTTATAAATAAGAACCATTTAAAATATATTTTTAATATCTTCACGACTTCATGCAGTCGTTTGGATTAAGCAGATCAAGGATGAATTAACTAATTTGCACTGAATCACTAAGGAAGGCTATGGAATGATCCAAACTCAGCATCTTTGTTTTTAGGCTTCTTTGAAAGGCAAGAATATAGCACACTATGTGCAAGGCCTTCCATCCTGCAATACAGAAGCAAAAGACCCAGTCCCTGTTCCACACATACTTCACCAATCAAAGGCTGAGGGAAAAAATGTTAAATGCAGTTAAAATTATGGTAATAATAATTTACAGGTTTTGTTTCTTTGAAGTATCTCTTTTTTCCTTGAGGGAAAGAATGAGTAAGGGTCCAAATTGACCTCTTCCTTCCGAGAAAAATTCTTTTTCTGTGTCAAACCACAACAATATCAAAGTTAGGTTAGGCTAACATGCATATAGTCATTGTTTACTCTTGTTGTCTGTAGTGCCTAGTAAATCCATGAGCTGTGTACTGGTAAGAAAAAAGACTTGAAGACAAATCTTCCTTGTTTCACATTGCTACCAATTTCTGTTCACCTGGAGATAAAGAATAAGTATGTTGCCAAGCCTGGGCTTCCTCCTTTCTGCTACCTAATAAATTCTGCACCTCATTTCCTGCCGGCCTTTCTTATTTAGGTGGTGAAGTACTTGGTGTTGGGAATGCATCTAACCTTGAAACTATTTTGGGCTGCATGGCCTGACGCCTGATAGGTAACACCGAGGAATTACTCAGCTACAGTTTCTCTCTGATACTGCTGAAACTTCAGACTAATGCTTATCGAGATAAATACAGCCACGTGTTCTGTAGCCTCACAGTACAGGTGAGCACGGATTACTTGCCTGTGCAAACATCAGTAAGTTAATTCCCAGTTTGCAAATGTGGCAATAAATTAATTAGTATCAGCTAAATATTTTACTAGCATTTATGTTCATACATTATGTTCATACATCAAAAATGATTGCAGACACCCAGCATCAGCACATTTTTATTGATCTGTAACCGTTCCTTTCTTGCCCAGCCGAAAACCACACAGGAGTTGTCCCTGCCAAGTGACAACTGCCAAGTGACCCCGTGAGATGAGGCAGAGACGCCTGGCCAAAGCAGGCGGATTTCGGGATAGTTGTTTCCGGCTGTTTGTAAATTTCCTAAGTGCTTCTCAAATTTTGTCACACTTCCTGACTTCGGTGTTCACGGGACGCCGCGGGGCGCTTCACCTCCGAAGTGACTGCGCTTGTTTGGGGAGGGGAAGGAGCAGAAGGAGCGGCGGGAGCGCACAGGTGCGGACGGGAAGGCCCGGGAGGGGAGGAGGGGAGCGGGACAGCACTTCGCCACCACCTCGGGCGAGGTCCTGGGTGGAGCGGGGCCGTGCCAGCAGCTTCCCGCGGGGGCGCGGCCGGGACCCGACCCGCCTCTCTCTACCCTTCCCTTCCCCTCCGCTCCGCGCCGCCCCGGCCCGGCCCCTCCCCGCCCCTCGCTCCGAGAAGGGGCCGCGGCCGGGGCCGCCCTCCCGCACCCGCGGCGCTGGCCCGGCCAACAAAGGGGGCGCCGGGCCGAGGGAGGGGCCGCCGCAGGGCCGGGCCGCGAGGGGCGGGGAAGGAGGAGGAGGAGGAGAAGGGGGAGGACGGACGGCGGTGGCTCGCACGGAAAGTTGTGGGTCCGCCAGCGCAGCGCCGCGGGACGGAGTGCGAGGAGGAGCTGGGCTGCGCCGAGGAGCTGGGCTGCGCCGTGGGGCAGCGCGGCCCCTCCCTCCCGCCGCCGTGCCCGAGGGGTGAGTGGCGGCCGCGGAGAGTTGGTGTCGGCAGCTCCGGGAGCGGGGCGGCTCTGCGAGGGGCGGCGGCACCGCCGCGCCGGGAGGGGCTCGGCGGGGAAAGTTTGTTTGCCAGCCCCGGTCACATCGCTGCGCGGGGCAGTGCCCGCGGCGGGCGCACCTGCGGGCGGGACGGAGCGGCCGCGGGCAGCCGGGGCGAGCGGCGGCTCCGCCGTAGGGGTGCCCGAGGGCGGCGGCGCCGCCGCTGCGGCCGCGCACCCCGCGGGGAGGAGGTGCCGGCACGCCCGGCCGGCTGCCGGGTCAAAATCCCCGCCGGGGGAGCGGGGGCGGCGGCCGCTCTGCCGGGGCGGCCGTGCCCGGGGCCTGCCCCGCCGAGCTCCGCTCGCCCCGCCCGGGAGAGGGGCTGCGCGGCTTCTCCCACACGTGGCTGTGGCGCCCTGCGCCGGCCGGGGCAGCGCCTGCCCGTACCCCTTTGCCGCTGGCACACGCCCCAGCCCGGCGGGAGCGGAGCTCCCTCGCTGTGCCGCCCCTCCAGCGGGGCCGGCCCCTCGGTGCCAGCCGGGTGACCGCGGTGCCGGTGCTGTCCGGCGAGGGCCGTGTGCTGCCCCTCTGGGGGGCACGGCTGGGCACAGGGCTCCCTGTCGCCCAAGGTTGAGCGAAGCTTGGCTTTCGCGGCTGAGGATTCAGCTTGCTGCTGCACCTTCCGGGCCATCCCACTTTTTAAATGCCACCGTAAGGTGTCCCGCTGCAGGGGCACAGCGAGTGGCGGGTCGGCTGCCTCTCGACTCTCGTGGGCATGGCCAGCGAGCCCCGATCCCTCCGTTCGCACGCGGAGTCCCACCTGGCACGGCCCGTGGAGTTACCGTGCCTTTCTGCTCCTGCTCCTGTGCTGTAGGTGCTGAGCCGTGGCCCTCCATGGGAGCCTCCTGCCAGCCGATCTAGGCTCCGCCCGTGGCACACCGCAGCCCTCGAGCATGGCCCGTGTCTCCGAGCAGGAGGAAGGACCTGGTGGGGGACACAGCGAGTTCAGCGACATCATCAAGTCCAGATCAGGTAAGCTGTCGGGGGGAACGGTGTTTTCCTCGTTTCTCCTCTACCCATAGCTTCTGGCATAAGCTCACATTTTTAAACAGCATCATTTTCCAGCGGTTTTTTGGTTATATGTTGGTAGTACCGTGAGTGACTGAGGCTGTTCAAGCTTCCCTACTGTTACTAAGTAATAATAATTGCACATTTCAGGGTTTGTTTTGTTTTGGATTTTCTTTTTTTTTTTTTTTTGTCAGTATTAGTCAAGTCTGTTTATTTGGGATCCACCTCTGGCATCATAATTACCTCTACTTTTGTAAATAGCAATGTGCTTANTCAGTATTAGTCAAGTCTGTTTATTTGGGATCCACCTCTGGCATCATAATTACCTCTACTTTTGTAAATAGCAATGTGCTTAAAGTGCTCTTTTGCAACCTAGTTTTGGTAGCTTTCATGTTTATTCTCTGGCACTGAAATGGCAACTGTGGCTGCAACATTGCACCTCCTGGAAGTGCATCGCGGTAGTACTCATGCAGTAAATTGATGTGCTTCCTCCTTAATGTAAAACAGTTGTCTAAGGCTACTCACTCAGGCATTTCCTCCAGCAAAACATTCCTGCAACAGATCTGAAGGTTATTAAGAAGACATGGATTTTGTTTGGTTGTAGTGTGTTGGAGTCTCCTGAGGCTCTGATGCATATTGGGGTGGGTAGTGAAGTACTGTCACTTTAGCAGGGAGAGAACTGAGGCTTTGGAGGGACAACTGAGAGTTGTTTAAACCTTTGTAGAAATTTGTGCATCATTCATAGACTTGAATGCTGGATTCTCAGCCTCACAGTCTGAGGCTATGAATTTCTTACATGCAAAATGCTCCTGTTATCAAAAGATTTTCCTGTGATATCTAGCAAACCTAGCAGTGGTTTGGTTTTTTTTTTTTTTTAAGTTTTCCACATACTAAAAACTGTAGGTCTTCATTTGGTTGTGATTTGATATGTCAGATTGCATAGGATGTGGGTTTGATCTGGATCCCACTGGTGTTTGAATAGTTTGTTTCTTAGACCTTTGCTTTCTGAGTCTTCCTATTCTGGAAGAGCAGTTTATCAAACAGATGCTTGTGGGTTTTAAATTTTGAACTCTGTTGTGTTTTCTTTTTTTCTGCTCTTAGACATAACTTCATTTGATTGTAAGTGTGTAGTCAGTATCTTCATGGGCTAGCTTGCAGACCGTTTGTATGTGTCTATGTATGCAAGTACTACAGTTTTATAAAGTGTGTGAGTAAACATGGATGTATTGGAGGTTTTTCATGAATGAACAAATTGTACAGTAACTTCTGTTGTTTTGGTTGGGCAGATGATTGTAAATTTCCTGTTACAACCACTTTAAATTTCTCAGTGGAATGAGAAAATGCTTTAAATTTGAATATAAGGCTAAAAGGCATGCACATTAATTTAAAAATAATGTGATGACTGATCTTAAATATTTTTTTCTAATTACGATGCTTGCTTAGATGTGGATGTGTGATTTCTTCAAATAAATTACTGTACTACTGTAGCTCAGATCTGAACCATTCACAAGTAAATCTGTGGGAGGGTTTTCCATATGAAAGAACTGAAGTTTCCGAAGCACAGGTGACGGCAAATTAAAGGCTAGTTGTCAGGACTGAGAAGATATTTTAATTTTCCTAGATATTATGGATAGAGAATGCTAATTTTGATGCGTAGAAAGGAAAATTAAGGTGTGTTGGTTTTTTTTAGTTAGAAGATTTCTCCAGCATGAAATGCTCTTCAGCCTAAATGATTTGAAATACAGAAGTGTCATAACTTACTAATATTTGGGGGAGCTAAGGTATCTGTATGGCTTTTGAGACTCAAGAGATCTGAAAAAGACAGTCCTTTGCTGTCACAGAAAATAGGCTGCTCTGTTTGTTGCTGCTCTGTAAGTTCTTAGCACCAGTGATGTGGGAAGTCTCTTAACACTTTGGTTAGGGAGCACATGCAAATGTGCACTGAATATTTTCACTGAATAAATAAAATACAGAAAACACAGTGGGTGAAAACGCTCTAAATGATTTCATATGTGATCAAGTGATTTAATATGTCATAATATTTTTTTAGCATGTATTATTCCTATGCATTTTTAAATAAGCATGCTGAAAATGTTTATTCTATTCTTGTAAATAAAAGAAGATAGATGTATAATGTCCTGTGTAAAGATCACTTTCTCTGTGCTCTCCTGGGCAATCCTCTGTTTGTCTATTTCAATGTTTGTCTTAATCTCTTCTGAACAGATCACCAAGCTGTCAGGATATTGTGGTTATTTAAAACCATTCATGTTCTAGAAGTGATGTTTAAGATCTACGGCTAAGTCTTTTTTGTTGTTTTTTTTAACAACTTGGAAGGAAATTGTAATTCGAAATGCCAGAATCTTTCTGGGTCAGAGAGTGGTACTAGTAAAAATGTTTCTAAATATTTGGATACAAGTGTAAACTTTACTCTTTAGCAGCCTGTCAACTGAATATATTGTCCTTTTTTTCTAGTCATTGCTGCTTAAGTTATCTTGTTTTGTAAAACTGTGAAGCAGCTAGAAAGCTATAAAGATGGCACTGTCAATACAGGCAGTGTGTTGGTTATTGAGCTTTGATCTAAAGTCACTCTTATGTATTAAGATACATAAAGTTTTACACCTGCTCAGGGCTGTGTGAGGCCCATCTATGCCTGCTTTTATTAGCAGAAAAAGCTATGCAGTTTCTTCTTAGACTTGTAATTGGGAAGCTGCCAGTGTGCCACATGAATTTAGGAAAACTACAGAAAGTCATGATTTCTCTATAGACTGATCAAAATAAATTAACAGGATTTCCATTTGTCACTTTTACAAAAAAAAAAAAAAAAAGAGGGTGTTTGCCATGGGATTTCACAGATGGGAAAAAGTAATTTTGCAAGTATCTCATTTGTTCTTTCCTCTCAAACTAAGAGGATGAAGGATAAAACACTTTGAATGGGCATCAATTATTGATTATATTGGAAACACTTTTTCCTTCAGTGGTCTGCAAAGAAACTTTAAATGAATGTGCTATAATCTGTTACAAGTGATAAGTACTTGATTTTTTCCAGAGCAGAGATTTTATATGCTCTTAATATCACTTCTGTGACTTGTGATGAAAAAAAAAAGACTTTCCTGTTGTCCACTTATTATTTTTTATTTTCTGCTTTGGATATGGCTCATCTTTGATTTAGTAGCCTGTTAATACTGGTCAATATGTAGCTTAAGGTGTCTTTGAAGAGACCTCTTCTGTACTTAGAATAGTATTTGATGGTGACCAAAGCTGCTTATAAAATAACTTCTGGTTATTGTGTTTATAAAGGAAGCTGCTTCTTGTTCTCAGAACGATGAATGATCTGTTTGCCTCCCTTCTTTCTGCACCAGTGGTGGATGCTGATGGCTGAGTGGTGTTTAGTGGGTAGGATAATTGTTCTTGATGGTTATGCTAGGTTTATGTATTTATAATTGGTATTTAGCATTATTATCCTGTGCTATGCCTATGTGTCTGTATAATGGTTTGCTATGGAAAAGCAGTTTTTCTTTTTATTAACTTACCTGTAGTATGAAGTAATATATGTGGAGCTGATTTATATCTTTGAAAGGCATCTTGTGCAGATAGGAGAGCTTTCCTCATTGCAATAACTTTCGGGAAGGAATGCTGTGGGATGATTGCCTTACAGTGGTGAAAACAGTGCTGTCATCATGGGCTTGAAAAACAGATGAGTCTTTGCTATGATTAATTATGGAAAAAAGACAAACTCACTTAAAATCTGTCATGGTAGCTTGGAATGGTAATATATAATTAAACAGTAAGACATAGCAGGAAAAACATTTTTAGAAGATTGCGCCTCTGGTGCATTTTAAGATATGAGCTCTCTCTAAATTGAAGGGAACTTAATTCTCCTCAAATATATTTGACTGAAAGACTGCTTTGAGAATTCGTAACTTAGTTTTGGACTTCTGGGGCAAGGCTTATTCTGAGAACTGCTGCTGTTGTCTGTCTGTCCCCTTGTCCTCTGAAGCAAGACTTACTTGGCTGGCAAACCCTTTGTTCCTGGGGAGCTCCTGGGCTCTCGCTGCCCCATGATGCCACAGGTTGCCTTTGGAACCAGTTCCTTTAGTTGTGTCTCTCGCTGTCAGATAACTACAGGCTAAATGTGCTGCTTCTCCTTTTCCATTTTGGCCCTATTGGTGTGAAACTGTCAGGAGTTGTCATAGTTGCATGTGGACCCTTAGGATTCTGTCAAGTGGGTGCAGAGTTGGTGTAGCCAGATTTACATTGTGTGAACTCTTCAGGGACATTTGTGCAGATAGTGTTAAAGACGAATGACAAACTTGCTCTCCTTGTTTCTAGCCACTGAAATGAGTTTAAGACTAAGCCTTTGTGTTGCTGTAGCCTGGCTCCTTTCTGTCAACAGTATAGCTTCCTTTTCTTGGGCTGTCTGCTGGGGACAGATTGGATACTGCAATGAAGACAGTTCTAGGGTATTGCCTAGCATTTATGAAATGACAGATATAGAAGTACCAGGCTGGTTTCTTCTAGCATCTTGATTGGTAGGTGAAAAAATAACATATGCTACGCTGTGTGTTTGAAGCACGACTCTGCCTTGGAATAGAAATTGAGGCTTCTCAGTGAGGGGGGAAAAAACCAACCCAAAATCCAAACCATAAAAGCAGCCCATTGATTTGCATGTGCTCTGCCAGGAAAGGAGGATGTAACCCTGAGCGGGAGCTGCTAAGTGAGGCACTGTGTGTAGTGTGTTAAGTGTTTCTAAAGAGGTCTAAAAGCTGGTGTGGGGAGGGGCTGCTGCTGTGGAACCCCTCGCTGATGAGGAACCTGTGGAGAAGGGGTGCCTAGATGAGAGGCAAACTAGGGTCAGTGTGGGGTTTCTTTCTACACCTTCCCCAGCACTCTTTGGAGCTCCCTTCTCTCCTCAGGTCTGGGGAAAGAAGGAAGACTCATACAATAGCATGAAAACACTATCATGT